CTTACACGCAGAAAGTCGCTATTACGTGCGAATCGCAACGGTCGCACGCGTCTCCGTGCGCTTAATAATTTCATCGCAAATATACTTTACCCACGAACATCTATATTATTACGTCATGGGAATCTGCCTATCGAGCTTGCGTATCTCAACAGTGGCGAAGTCGTACCCTTGTTGAGTCAATTATCCACCGATTGCGCGATTCCTAGTCTACTGCATTTAACGACATTAAAGTCAACCTTTCATCATACGCGTAATCAATAGTTGATATGTCTCATGCATACTTCCTCTGAAATAAAATTAATTTCGATAGGAGCGAGAATTAAAATGAATTATATGATTATATCTTATCATTGGATGGACTAAATATATAATTGAAAAATTAAAATATTGATAAATTTAGTAAATTTATTAAAGTATTAAGATTCCAAATTTATTTTATAATCTAAATCATTCATAAATTATTTTATAATGTTCGATGGAATTATTTCGATTTTTGATAATGATCGTTAATTTCGTTAAACATAATTAAACATAATTAAAACGATCGTTAAACATAATTAAAACATTTAGAAGTAGTAGAGAGCAATTTTCTATTGATTATCGCTTCTGGAATTTCATAGATGGAGCAACATAAATTAGTAGTGGTTTAATTTAATTTCTCTAGTCTATATCGTAGATAAATTGGTACTCGAAAATAGCTACCAAACAAACAGTAACACAAAGTTTCTTAATTTTACCGCAATGTATTCTGTAATATTCTGTATACAAAGACACATATATGTATAACGTAAATATCGCAATTATTAAATGCAACAACTATTTTTTGTCTTTGTGATTAATAAATCTGTAATATTTCAATATAATATATTTCATCGATATTATTTAAGTCATTGAAGAAGAAAACGATTGCTTACGAATATATTATAAAAAGATAACAAAATTCTTTTGTCGTTTGATATTTTATTAAAATTGATTTGAATATATAAAGAAACTTCACGTTACGCTACAAAGAAAGAGATTTTTTTAAATATTGTAAAATTCGAAGGAAAGAGAGTGTATTTTGATTCTTTTTTTTTGTAATCATTATGGGCGGAATTCTACCTCTCTCTACAAACTCAGATTCAGAGTCATTTATTATTTAGCCAATTTTCCAACGCCAATTTCCCCGGCGAGGAACGCGCGTACGTCCACACCTATGCATGCGAGGCGCGTAAGCGGCAGTGAATAAAGCGACCGTGCCCCGTACCAGTGACGTCATCCTCGCCGGATCCAAGATGGCGATCGCGTGTTCACCAGGCGAAATCGACAGCGGTCAGCGGCGGCGGCAGCAGGACCGGTTTTCGAGGAGGCGGTACCACCGCCGCCGCCGCCGCTGCCGCAATCGCCGCGGCCGCGGCCGCGGCCGCATCGATGTGTACGCCGTATTGGCCGCAGCGTGCAATTTCGTCGTTTTACGGGCCCCGAAAAAGCGAAGCTATTACACGAAACCACGCAAGCTACCCTGCCTACGCGATCTGCTAAACTCCGCTAACAATCGTACAGGGGCTCTTTAATTTATTTAGGTACGCAGTTTTTTTTCGCATTTAAATCATCATATATCAATTTGAACAATATTTGATATATGATAATTGAAAGGCGCGTTAACTTTTACATTATAAGTCAAGCAGTAGGTGTAAAAAGGCTGTTTTCCGGTGAAAGAAACGTGTACTTCGATATCTTAAAAATATTGTAAGACGATTCCTTAGATGTGCACTGTTTCGGATTAAAAAATTCAAGTAACAAAATTTGTTAAAATTAAATTAAATTAAGATTAAAACAAAGATTTATCTATCAAATGATATAAAGATTTAATCTTGCAGTTAGAAAGAGAGAAAGAAGATTAACATATTCATTATTTATGAAAACTCCTAAATTCTGTATCGTTTATCATTTATAAATTATTAACAAATGAAAGTTTGGCTCAGAATAAATTTAATCGGACAATTTAAAAACTCGTATATAAAAAGAAATGTGAGATATCGCCCATCAAAGTCAAAAGACTCTCTGCTTCAGGCTCGTAGGATCGTCATATCCGTTAATAGCAATTGTAAAATAGAAGAAAATAGCGACACGTGGCCGTTACGTTGAAATCCCGCTATCGAAGGGAAGGCAAAACGCGATCGCACTTGGTGCCCTACCGGCGTTGACAAAAAACGATCTCCACGTGTCCGACCTACGCGCTCGCGCGGACACGACTTTACAGTGCCATTACCGTAAATTTCGCGCTCTCCGCGTGAATCGCGCGGTGAATCGACCGCGACAGATAGGGGGAAACTGGAAATTTCGAATAGAGTGAGAGAACGCGCGTGCTGAACGTATACGTGCGTCCCTTCTCCAGAGACGAGGATCTCGTGTCGCGTGAGCGTATCGCTCCAGATTAGCGCCTCGTCTCACCGGTGCGCCGTAGTAAAATTTTCTCGAGCGACTAATTCGAAAATCGATACGGCGCCGCGGGTAAGGCGCCGCGCGGCAACGTTCCCTTCGGATGCGTGGCCGTGCGTATCCTGTTCCGCGTAGAGAAGCCGAGACACGCGCCCGTCGCGCATTTTCTCGCGCGGCAGCGGATGCCAGTGGCGTAGCGCGGCATTTTCCACGCTTTTTTCCTCAACCATTCGATTTGTCTGTCTTAAATGTCTTCCTGAGGTGAAAACTTGCGCGATTTTACAGAAATAGAAAAAAATAACGAAAAGTTAAAAATATTATTTTACTAATATCAAATTTCACTTTATATTTATTTTTTATATTCTTTCAAATCTGGAAAGTTTCAAATCATATTGCAGTAAGCAGTAGCTTTTTAAGAAATTCAGTTCAAAAAATATATCTCCGTGAAGTATATATAAAACAAGGGAAACGTCAATCTGTATAAACTATCGATAGTACGCGGCGAAAACTTTTATCGCCGTCCCCTTTCAGATACTGTATTCAAACTTGATCGTCGAATCTTTTCGCTTGGTGTACGCTTATACTTTCGAGCGTCTATCGAATCCGTTTGCTTTTCTATGGATCCCGCTCGGATCATCACGGTCCTTTCAACGACACCGATGCTCGATTCATCCATCACCGATGAATATATATATATACGAAGCGTTGCGCGAGGAAGCGTATAGACCGCACATTTGAAAGTGCAAGCGCGTTGATTATCGATCCATTGATCGATTACGATATACTGACGGGGCGCCGCCAATCAAAACGGAACTCGGCGGACAGCGAGAATTCTTTGAAAACACCTATATCGACGCACGTATCGATCGTACGCTCCGCGATCTAACGTCTCCTCACTTAAGACCTCCAAGCCGATGCCTATACTTGCAGTTTTCTGGTTTAAAACGATACCGATATCGCGTTATTGGCTTATCTGCTACACGTAACTATATTTGAATACCTCACCGTGGCGCCTGTCAAGTGACTCATCCCCCTCTCCCCCCGAAATATATCGTTCTTATTTCCGCATATTTGCCTTCGCGTGAGCTGCAAGCAAGGTATTATAGATTTATTTATTATAGTTATTATAGATTAGTCAAGTTGGCAGGTACACGATATGTTGTAAAGTTTACGTTGAGGATGTGTGTCTGAGAGTGCCAGCCAGGGAATCTCGCGGTATTTAACCCGTCATCCATCTTGGCAGAATTTAGGAAAGTGTAGTGAATGAAATGTATTGAAATAATGTGAATTACTTGAAGTTAAATCTGGAGTTATAGTATACGCTTTATAGCATACGCGTGAATTCGATACTCGCATTTTCCTAGATCGAAACCTTGAGATCGAAGGAACGAACACCTCGCATCGCGAGTCCGTTACGGCCGTATCTGGCGAAAGGTCGATACACTTGCTACGGAGTATTCAATACCCCCCGCAAGGATAAAGGAGAAAGGAATGCGAGGCGCCCATTATATATCGTCAAGTTGGACGTCAAATTTTTGTTACGGACGGCGGATTAACTCCGTCCGTACGCTTCCGCTTCTGAATTTTATATACGCATTTCAATAAAATAAGCACGAATCACGTTCAGAGTCGCGACGTGCGTATGCTCTTGCGAAAAAATAAAAAAACTCACGTTGGCGTCCTCTCCGTTGCATTCCGCCGCTAATTGGCGTGTCCCTTAACGACAAGTATCGGCGCGGCGCGGGGCTTCCACCGAAATCGGCAGAAGGGAGAGACTTTTCAGTCGGACTGCCGCTCGCTTTCGTACTCCTGCACAACGTCGGGTAGGCGCGAAGGTCAACGAGTTTTCTACGCGAGCGGGGAACGCCTATAGCGTGTGCGGAGCGGAGCACCGACGCGCGCTCGCGAGCGCTCGCGAGCGAGCGAGCGAGCGCAGCTTACTCACGCTCGCAAAATTGCTACCGGGGGCTGCCCTACGGCTCTTCCCCATCCGGAGTTAATGAGCGCGTCTTTCGAGTTTCGCGCTGACAGTCGACGACCTCCGTCGAATTCATCGCGAGCGAGTCTCCGCGAAATCACGCACCGTGTCGGCAACTCTCGCTCGACCTCGATTCGTCCTAACGCTGACAGCGTTGAGATCACCGCTCGGCGTGACAGACGAGCGCTAAAAGCGAGCGCGAAACGAGCACCTTCCTGTTCAGGAAAAATTCAGTCGCGTCGCGGTTACACGAAGAGTTCGCCATCAAGAAAATTCCATAAAAATTTTTATTTCCGTCGTGAAACTCCTCGCTCTACGTCTCCACGGTACCTGCAATACCGAGTCGCGCGTGTACGGAGTTGACCGGTCACTGCTGGAGGAAGCTCGCGAGATCGGAGCGTCGTCGGAAGAGCGAATCCATATACTTCAGAAAATCATGATATTTCTTGCCGGTTGCTTCCAATTGCGAGCGCTTTGTGACGTTCGCATCCGACACCGTGATGAACCTCCGAATCGCGATTCGTCCAGCGTGTGCCCGGTGTGACGAGCGTGTTTTACGCGGGGAACAAACAAAAAAAAAATAACACGCGGATTCTCCTACCTCGTAGGCGTTATCGCCGTGCAATGTTGCGTGCGTGCGTGCGTGCGGGGCCTGCGGGGCCCGCTTCCGAGGGGGGGAGAGAGAGAGCACTCGGGGGAGCTGGCGAAATAATACGCTCCTGCCGGGATCTCCGCGCGCAGGCAGGTAAATATCGTCTAAGCGCGATCGCGCGGCCACGACTGAGTCCGTTCTCCTGAGAGAGCGTTTCACCTGCGACGACGGAGCCCCCCTCGACGGCCTCGGTGCGACGCGCGAACTAAAACCCGCCGCCGCACCGCCGCCGCCGTCGCCGTCGCCTTTTCCTCTCCCACTCGCAATCGCGTCGCGTCGCTTTGCGTCGCCTTGCGTCGCACGCGCGGCCGGCCGTGCCTTTGTACCAAGCGCGCGTCCTTTTACCTGCGATACCACGGCTCCGCGTACCACCGCGCCTGCACCACCTATTCGGCCACCCGCCCACACCGCACTCGCTCGCGCCTCGGTACCCCTTGGGATCGCCGACCGGCAGCATCCGGGTGATTCCGCCCCCTCTCCCTTTGACAAATCGTGGGAGGCGGAATGCCTTTTTTTTATTTCTGACACGATCAGCAGGACCCCGGGACGGGTTGCGGACAGGTGTTGATGATAGGGCACGGGCAGAGAGGGCGATCCTATCTTCCTTTCTAATCCTCGCGATTGATCTTTGTAATTTATCTTTTCTCTTCTTTAAAGAGACCACTTCTTTCATGGGGTGAATCGTAGATCAAACGATGACGATTAATTTTCGTATCGCTATATCTGTTGATTCACAGCTCGTAAACTGATGCACGCGGATTGAATTAATTAGATTCGAAGCATTCGAAGCATTTTGATTTCTTTTTTTGTGATATTTATGAGACACGCGTGCGTTTTATCTCTCCTACATTTATGACAAGGAAGTATCTATTTATTTAATGCCGCTTTTAATGCGGCATTTTTTTCGCACTGCAGAACTTATATAGTTTGATTGTCGATCTGATCGATCGTCGTCCTCGTAGCGACCCGCCTGTGTCCAGCCATTCCGTCCGAATTTCAAACGTCCGACCGGAACGATTCCGCAAAGCGGGCGAGCGTCGCGCGACAGGCATTTAAGGAATACTTTTGACAACCGACAACGGCTTCTCCGACTGACGTCCGTTATTCCCGGCGAGAGGTGAATTCGCGACGTCCCCGGGCAACGTACGGGACGACGCCAGCGATCGCTCGTCTCCCCAACTTCCAGCGACTTCTTCCTCCAGAACCGCTATTCGTTTTCGCCGCGCGGCAATTATTCCGCCGCGGAGACTAGCGCGCGAATTCCCTTCCCATTCCGCGCTCGGCGGCGCGGCGAGCTCCCGCACTCGAGGCGGTCACGGAGCGCTTCGCGCCGTCTCTGAAGGACGCGGGGGAACGCTCTTTCGCAACTCACGCGAACGCCCCGGCGCCGGGAACGCGTCGTTCGGGAATTCGTATCCCGGCACGCAGCGCACTCGCAGCATTGAAAGACATTTGGCTCGCGCACAACTCCCTGCCCCGCGGGGAGATCTTTTCCGCTTATCTAACACGGAGCTATGCGCCTCGCGTGTTTCGCTATTGACATTAAAGAACCGCTGCTGCTTATAAAGATGTAAAATGCGCGAAGTTGCGTTCTCACTTTAATCACGCCACGGCAATTCCATGCGTCTTCCGTCAGTTACGACCATTCGGACGTAATTGTGGTTGATTTAACATTGCTACACTTTCGTCAAATGCAAAATATCGTTTTTTAAAGATATAAAAACAAGAATTTAAAAAAGAAGAACGTGTGATAGCGTAAATAATATTTACTTGATGTCATTCTTTTATTTTCCATGATGATAGCTAAGGAACATTATATATACTATTCTTAAAAATTTGGCAAGGTAAAAAACCATCAGGCACGACAATTCGAAAAGCGTTCATCGAGAATATGTCTCTCTATCTTTTTATTTTAAGCGTCGCGCAATTTGCGCTGCAAAAGACTGTGAAATTCTCTTTGTCGTTTGATCGCGCCTTTCCCTTCGTCGTTTGATCATTTATCGTTCTCCTCTCCCAATCGTTTTACCGAAAAGGCACGACGAAACCGCGGGATCCGTCGGCCATCCAGGAGAGGCGTAAAGACAGATGGCGGCCGGCGATCTCGCGATGTCGGTGATAAGAGACCGCGATGATCCGCGATGGCGAGAAGAGAGAAGAAAGAGAGAACGCGCGCGGGGGCGTGGGCGCCCAAGGCCTTCTGCTCGCCATTTACGGCCCGGCGTAGCCGGACACGGAAGACTCGCGGGGTGAGGGAGAGAACGAGAGACGCGAGAGTACCCCGCGAAACGGGGCGAGGACAACAACGGTGAGGCGCGGGTGCGAGGAGGGAGAACGAGAGAAAGATCGAAGGGGGCGAGAGAGAGAGAGAGAGAGAGAGAGAGAGAGAAAGAGAGAGAGAGAGAAACGGATACCACCGTCAAGACCATTTTGGTCGCGTTGCAAACTGGAAAGACCACTCGAAACTCCGTCAGCGAAACGCGCGTCCGCGCTATTGGCGGAGGATGAGCCCCGATCGTTTTGCTCGGCTCGCGGTGTCGGGTGCGGGACTCCAACCTCCGTTGATCGCGGTGTTTTGTCCAACGAGTTCTCCTTCTGGAGTCCTCCTCTCGCGCGGAATCTGGAATTTCGCGAGTCGACGCGAGGAATTGATTGCGGAGTTTTTCTTCTCGCGTCACTTTCGCGCGATTCAGCGCCTGCAGCAGATCAGTTTAGATTATAATACACCCGTTGGAAGAGGGGGAATGAATGAAGAAGATATTACCGCGTTCGTAATCCCGTGAGATTATTAATATCCGCGCGAGATTTAATAGCCGATGGAATAGAACGATTAATTTGCGCTGCGCGCTGAGAATCGCGCGCATTAATTATGATACACGGAACACATTATTGCGCCACAATGCAGCAAAGCGAACGCAATTTATTCGCGATAACGGTAGTTAGAACGTTTGTAAGAGCGTGTCCTGCGCCCGCGTGCGTATATAGTAGTTAATAAATTGCTTTCACTTGCTAATTTGACGATAAAAATCGTAACTCTTTTCGCATTCTTTCGATTTCTAACTTACAACCGCTCACAACTGTACGAAGAGCTGTATAAAAAGAGATTTTCAATTTGTCGCATCTTTAATCGATTTTCTCCTCGGATGCCAATTATTAAATTTCTGAATCATTTTGAGAAGGAGTGCAATCACCGTTTCCCGAGTTAGTTAATCTACGTGTCGCATCGCGTATATACCGAAGCGGCGCGGGGATTAATATAGAGCCCCAAGCCGCTGGCAACTCCGGCGTAACGAAGATCGTAAATTCTGACCAACGTGTCCGCGTGCTGCGGACCGACCGACGTATCATCTAGGATACGCACGATCATCCTTGCATAACGATTATGCGGCGTGACTTGCCTGCATCGGTCCCTTTAAAAAGGCGCTCCCGCGAGAACGGGCCCCGCGTCGCTCGGCCCCGCGCCGCGCCGCGCCGCGAAACATCGCGCGACGCGCGATATACGCGGATGGAGGTGTCAAGTAGTCACGAGAGCGGCGCAGTAACGCGCGATCGCTAAATCGCTATTTTTTTCCCTCCCTCGCGAATCACAATTCGTCGACTGCTTTCGAATCCCACGAGAAATCCCGTATAAAGCGACTTTCACGATTCCGCCACGGCGAGCACGAGGATCCGCGACACCTAGCGCGGTAGTGTTTCCACCGTCGCGCGGCCGGTGTTTCCTGCGCGTATTCGTCACGCCGCGCGCCGGCCCCGTGCACGCAGGCTCGCTCGACGAATTTCTGTTTGCGCACCGCTGTCTTTTTTTTTACCTCCCTCCCCCCCCCCATCCTCCTGCGACGCCGATTTACTTTTACCGCATCACTTGTCGCTGACGCAAGTTACGTCGCTGCGTTATGCCGTCGCTTAAAAACCCCGAATCGCGCAATGACCCTTCACTTTCACACGACGTCCTTGGACCAATTAAAAGAAACTCGAAATTCATGTGACAGAAGGAGTAAAAAAAATGTATCCATACGTAAGGAACGCCGTTTGCAGGATATTGCGAATATTTCTTCTGGCTATTAATGATATAACTATATCATTTTAAAAAATTTGAAATTGCTACCTTCTCTCAGATATATTTTATAATATTTAATATTAGCATAGAAGCTTATATATAATGAGAGTTAATCGAGTTTGAAAATAAGAAACCTGAATCTAAGATAGATTATGCTTTTTCTTTCTTTCTTGATCGATCTATGTCATTAGCTATAACGTCATTAAACTACAGCTCATTAAACTATAGCTATATATAACTGAATTTTCATGAAAACAAAATCGATCAAAATAAAGAAAAGGATATCAAATTTTGATTTTTATTTTCAAACTTGAGCAGCTTAATAAATTTTTTCGATTTCTTTTAACATTAATATTACACGGAAAGAACGATTTTGTTGAAAGGTCAAAAAATTTTGCTAAATACAGATCTGAAAATAATTCTTGTTCAATCATCAAAATAATTTGTTGGAAAGTTAAAAATTATAATTAATAAGCATTGCTATAAAACGTTTTGATATTCTAGCAATCATTGTGACTTTCCAACAAAATTATTTTGATTATTGAACAAAAATTATTTTCAGATCTGGATCCAGCAAAATTGTTCTTTCCGTGTATAAAAAATATTTGAAGGCAGAATATTCAATTTTTTTTAACAAAGAGGGAAAAGAAAAAACACGCAGAGAAAATTTATCAGGTTTACCGAACAGCTTTTCGAACTTGAGAACGGTGCCGAAAGAAAGCACAAGCAAGTTAGGTTCTTCGAGTTCTAATTTTTGACGAAAAGTCCAACTTCGTGCCCGGACTTATCGCCTGGTATCGCCCGCGGCTGGGCGCTGAGCAGTTTCGCGATGTCCGGGGCGAACTCTCTTTGGCAGAGGAGGGCAACGGACCGGTTGGTCCTCTCTCGCCGTCGCATTCCCGAATATGGCAACGCGCATCCCGAAGTGCTGCGGGTATACGACTCGCACGCACTCGACAGGCAACGCGCTTGAATATATTCGAAGTCGTACCGAAATCGTTATCCCGCGCGGTAATCGTGAACGCGATTACCGTAAGTCTAAACGTCATCTGGATGAATAAGTCATTCAG